TTGAAGGGAAATCGTCTATTCTTCGTGACAGTGGGAGACATAAGGTTTGGTTGGATGCATTGCCGGAATCTTCCAGCAGTGTTAGGTTGCCTTCTTTTCAGAGCTATCGCCAGGCGAAACAATCTCTACCCTGGACGACGTGATTTCAACGACTTAACCTCTCTTGAGAAGCGTATAAGTGACAAGAGCGTTAGCGACGGATTCCGTCATTACGCTCCTATTGTCGACGACACCGGCGATGGGTTCTGTTTAGGTACGCGACGGGGCTTGCATTTCGCTTGCATTTCACTACTCTTTTTCCAGTAATTATAAATGAGACGCAGCGCGAATGGTTGGCGGACTTCTCGCAGAGAGGGATTGGTATCGATGACACATTTAATGTGTCCATGTACAAACTTAGACTCGCTACGATTATCGTGGCTGATCACTGCGACCGAGCATTGCCAGCCGCTTTCATGCTGAGTTTCAGGTAGAGCAACAGCATTTTACACTTTGCCACTGTTTAAATACTATTGTGTAGGATGAGTGAGAACGAGTTGGTAGTCTTGTTCGATAAGGTCAAGGAATTAGTTCCTGCATTCGCTCCCGAATTCTTCATGAGTGACGACGCTCCATCGTTTTACAACGCGTTTCGAAGAGTATTCCCTGAAGCAAAAACGCGGAAGATTCTCTGTAATTGGCATGTGCTGCAAACGTTCAAACGTTCAGCAAGAAAGAAGTTGACCAAAGTAGGCAGAACACACACTCTCACGTTTCTTTTTGATAATTTGTTTATCATTCATTAGCCCACTGATCATTTAGCCGTCCCTGCTTGGAGAGTTTATGTCCAGGATTCGGCTTGTCAGCAGATCGTGCAAGTCGACACTGTTCACAAAAAGATACGGAGATACATTGACGTTTCTACTGAATCAGAACCAACATGAAATGGTCGACTATCTGCACCAAAACTGGTAACACTTCGTGATCGTTATGAAATTTTGGAATTCACCGTGCAATTAAGGACGAATAGAATAGAGGAGTGGGCTGCTCACCACAGGAGAGGAGCATTTATGAACACATCTATGATGTGTGAACGATGGCACAAACATCTCAAAAGGGAAGTGTTCGGCCCATAAGAGCAAAATACGAATAGATGAATTGTTGGACGCCCTCATCACAGCAGTGAAAGAGATGAAAGAGGATGCTGCAGTAATAGTGAGTCGTGTTCAGTTGATTATGGCAAGGAACGTGTAAACATAGTCTGTTTAGTTGAGGGATAGAGGCTTGTAGAAAGACGCGATTCGTCTCAAAACCATCAATGTCAGTCACAACAAAGGCGATAACAACTTACCTAAACTGAAGCAGCCTGATTACTGTCGTTTGACCAGCCTGGGAAGATCCGCTCTTCCAAATATCAATAAGTTTGTCAATGTCCGAGAAGAGCGCTGCTACAGCAAAAAGGCAGTTAGCGAGAAAAAAGTACTACCAATTGCTAAATCAGAATCATTATGTGTAGGCCCTCAGTCATTGTCGTAAGCCCGGCTGCTCTGCTTGTCCTTATTCAGTCTTTTGCGAATGCGACGATGACCGCAAGGCACGAATCTCTTGCATGCACGTTCACGCTGCGTTTGGAGCGCACTCAGAAGGTGAGTGGGAGTTTGGCGACCCTTTTTTCTATGGTTTCATGTATTGTTGTGCTATTCAGACCCCTCCCAAAGTCCGGAAGACGCGGACGCTCTGATAGGCAGTCCCGCCTGCTATGAACCTTCGGATGCTGCGCTCAAACAGCCGTCATCCAGTAGCTCACAGCCGTTTCACGTCACCAACCAGAACCGCCTCGATACAAACAAGGAGTGGATCCAGAAATTTGCAATGGTATGGTACCGGAAAAATTTGCTACTCACTAATATAGATATTCATTGTTGTAGGAGTGCACTTCCTTCCAAGCGACATTTGAGAATGATAGCTTCACAACCAAGTGAGAAGACATAGCCGAGAAACAGTTTCGAAGGACTGTTTGCCTCTATGAAACAAATATACTCGGAGCGCGGAAGGAAAGCGCTCCTATGGCTTGCTCCTGCGGCTCAGAAAATGCGGACCATGGCCGTTCGTCCAGAAGTTCCGATGAGAGGACCTGCGCCAAAAGATGCGAAACCCATCCGCATGAAAAACACGTATAGTGTACAGTTGTAAAACAGGCTGATTGTTCAAGATAATTTCTTTGGTTGGCCACTTTGAGAACTTTTTTCAGAAATCATGTATCAACCGAGAAAAGCGGAAGACGAAATTTGAAGCGCCTAAGGAGTTTTCGTCGGCAGAAGTGCGGGTCTGTGGGAGTTGTTTCCTGGAAACTCGATTTGAATAATGTTGATGATGAAATTACTGGTCAAAATGGCATTTTTATGGCGAATGCTGGGGCACCTCGGCAGTGTTTGCACTCAGTGGCAGCAGTGCATCTGTATGTTAGTGTCAGGGAAAATGGAGTACAGTGAGTGACTTTTAGAACTTCACATTCTTTCGTTTTTGTTATGCTTGATAGGTTGTCTAGATTTGTTACTACTGCTGTTGACTTGTGTTCACTCTTGCTTGGTGATTTTGATCTCATTTTTGTCAAGAATCCTCTGTCTTTCGCGCTTATAATATAGTCGATAGCATAACGTCCACTTTTCACTTACGTAATTGCGTAGAGTTCGCTAATGCTATAGAATACTGTAATCAATTTTGGCACGCGATTGTTAGTAAATCGCGCTATTCCAATGCAAAATCACTCAATGTTAGATAACCGCTCCACAGAGATGAGGAAAGTTATTTTTATTTTGAGTTACATATTGTTTGTTGTTATTGTTTGTAGGTCTCTCCGGTCATACTCGAACGCCCAAACAATTTTCCAAACTATATAATTAAAACCGTTGTTAAAATCTCATCTTACGACATAAAAATCACCTCAAGTATTCGTGGCGTGTTACATCTCAAGTTACATAAAATCAGAATCATATTGTGTCACATGAAGCAATATTGGTGTCAGCCACACACACTCACCAACACAGTCAACCGTTTCACCACTTTAGGTAAAGCAGTTCAAGATTCGTCATCATTAGCAAAAAACCAAATCAACCCAAATCAACAAGACATGTCCCATTCGTTTTGCCCTACTGAAGTCAGTATTAAGGACTCGGTCCATCAATTGCCTCTACATGCCACGGTCGCGCTCGCAGGACAATTAGGGTACGGTAGCACACCGTTCAGCAGACGGACTCAAATCTCTGCTGTCTTTAAAGACACATGGTACGCTCGAATACATTGAGGCTTATGGGACTATCAGACCCCAGCTGTCGATATGTCGTGGTCCCCCGCCCAAAACTGCACGGGGTCAGAGTACGGGGCCATGGGAAAGTTAATTCCTGTCACATGCAGTGGGACGCCCATTTTCGCAAACTCACGTCATGCTAACGCCGTCCGCGCGGCCGCGTGTCGCGTGCAATCTTGGCTTTTTGCCAAGTCCTGTAATTGCGCTTTGGAATACAAGTACAACGCAATTTCTTTATGCGGATAACATTTTAGGTGCTGCAAAATAAGAACCGAAGATGATGACAAGGGCTAGAACTCAAGAGCAACTGTGCTGCTTCTGCAATATCCCTCGGCCGCGCATTCCCACAGACATTACACATAAAAACGACAACAATTCCTAGGGGAGTCCGCCTCTAGCCGGCCAAAAGGGGGTGGGTCGATTGGACTGGAAAAATTTATTTTTAATAGTTGAATTTTTCTATCGCTTTATTTTATTTTTATAGTTGATTTTTCTCGCTTTGCGGACGTTTTGGAGGGGGGGGGTCGTATTTGGTCGTTGTTGGGAGGGGGGGGGGTCGTACCAGCCCCTGAAAAAAGGGGGGGTCGTAAAAGCTCGACCAAAATCCCCATCGAATGCTGTGCCCTGCGCTTAGGCCGTTTTTATTTTTGCTTCGTGGAAATGCGCGGCCTCCGAGGGATATTGCAGAAGCAGCACAGTTGCTCTTGAGTTCTAGCCCTCGTCATCATCTTCGGTTCTTATTTTGCAGCACCTAAAATGTTATCCGCATAAAGAAATTGCGTTGTACTTGTATTCCAAAGCGCAATTACAGGACTTGGCAAAAAGCCAAGAGAGCTGCACGCGACCGCGCCGCGCGGACGGTGTTAGCATAAACGTGAGTTTGCGAAATGGGCGGTGTAGCAAGGAATTACGACTTTCCCACGGCCCCGTACTCTGACCCCGTGCAGTTTTGGGCGGGGGACCACGACACATCGACAGCTGGGGGCTGATAGTCTCATACACCCTCAATATGTCTGAGCGTACCGTGTGTCTTTAAGCGAGGCTATTCGGTTAGAATAACCATGAGTTTGTCAAAGGTACAGTGGGCAAAGGAACAACACACCTATAGAGCTACATTTGAATTCTCGATAAGTGCTAAAATAGACATGAATGCTGCCCGATACGAGGAATTGGGGGTTTGCTGTCGTCTTTGAAACTGGATACGTATTTTTCCACTGTGAATGGCTCTAATTTTCTCCGAACTGTTCGCAAACATGAGAACAGCTTTGAGAAGAAGGATCGCCCCTTTTCCAAAATTTATTCGAGTTAACTTTGAAGTTCCTGGTATCATACCGAGATAAATGCATTGGATTTGTTGCTTCAACTCCAAGAAGTGCGAACAACCCGTTTCCTGTGTACCATGTCGACTGAGCGAATTGGAAGACTAAGCAATGCATCTGAAGTATCCTACGTAGGGCAGAATTAGGCAGTGGTGAATAGTGAGCGCCCAATAGTTCCATCTTAGGATGCGCCATGCATAAGGCTCCCTCGCAGAGGTAATGGAATGGTGCAACTTCTACGTAATGCGTGTCCGCGCGAGAAGATGTATTCTCATGGAGAAAGGTTCAGGACCTACCCACGGACTTCCATAGGTTGTACTCTTCAGTCATCCACGTAGTTACAAACGTAAGTTAACTTATCATACTGGTAATTATTTTCCATTTTGAATTTGTTTATGGTGCTCCTGACACCTTTCCGCTGTTCGGTGTTGACGTCCCTCTCAGTACGACCCCCCCCACCTCGACTGTGAGATACGATCCCCCCCTACCTTTTGGGGAATCCTAACGATGGTGTGCCCTGGTGCGTACCCTCTCCCCCCCACACTCCCAGTACGCAAGCGTGGTACCGATCAACTCCCATCCGCGGTTGCGTTCGCATCTATAAGAAGAAAAATCATTGAAAATGATAATGAACTATGCTGAAAAATCGAAAAACGACTAAATGAGAATTATTGAGGAAGGAGGGGGGGGGTCGAAAGCGAAGAGACAGCTCAGCCGTATAGACGGGAGCGCTT